CAAACCTTTACCTCCCACGCTATCTCTGTCTTCTGACATTATCAATTTAAATATTCCCCAGTCTTCATCGTCCTCTCATGCATGTAGAACCAAAGCTCTCTCCTCCACTACTCTGGTTTTACATTCACTTCACCCTGCCCTACACTGAGCCACTCGAAACATTCTTCCACGATTTAACAACCGAGTCATCGTTTGTTTGGTCCTAGGGCACGTTCAAGCGTGCCTTGTACTTCCGGGGTCACTGCAATCGCACGTGTATTGCAAGCATCCATCACAATCGCCTTCCCATTTAACTCTTATCGCAACTTGTGATCACCTTTCCAGTTAGCTCTAATCGCGAGTCTATTGCCAAGGTTGACACCACGATCCCTTCGCCGCTCGCGCAACAATCTCTAATCGTGATTGTTTCACAATGACAAAGCAAAAGGAAGATCGTAGTTCATCGTCTCCACATGCTTGATCGAGTAGCACCAACGATGCACGTTGATTCCGAGGAGCAACACCAATGCGATGACTTTAAGGGCTAGGCTCTCATACCATAAAGAAAGAATTATTGAAAAAACCTTTATCATATATTCATAACATGGGCTTAAATAGGGCATTTCAATGTTTTACAGATAAGCCTGTAGACTTCTTCGATATTCCTTTTTTATCAATAGGAATCTAAAATAAGGTTCAATTCTGAACAACACTATCATAGTCTTAAGAGTCCATTATTATTATTATAGAAATGCAGAACATATAATTATTTACACATAATTAGTTTTATTTATTAATTTTATCGAAAATATGAAATTGTCCAAATGCATCATGATAATTCCACTGTGCTCATAATTTTTACCCAATAACATTTCAAATAAATACTTTTAAATAAAATTTGGAAACACAACATTTATTTTTGAATCAACTAATTGCATCATAAACAAGTTATGCATTGAATAAAACAAATAAATTAAATTTGAATAAGTTTTGAAAAATGAATTTTAGACTTAGTTGTGGTGTTGCATCACCACAGGGCATCATTACTTGCACCTTTGACACATACACTGTGTACTGTCATGCCACTTGTGTGTCAACCGTTATGTGTGGCTATTGTTGCACGCCTTGTTTAAAATTATTGAGACTCGCCTTGAGGCTTGTCTCAATTTTTTTAAAAAAATTTGCAATTAAGCTTGCGTCTTATTGGGTATTAGATGAGATTTTTGTCTCACATAATATGAGACCCACCCCGAGGTGTGCCTTGCCTTAGTTTTGAGGAAATGTATGCAATTAGATTTAGGATTTTGTTAAAATAAGTAAAATAATTCTAATAAAATTTCTCACTTATCCATATAATATGCAACTAAGAATGTAATTGAAGTTGTTGCTATCAGCATACTCATTTGTTTTAAAATCTAATAAATATTTGTATTAATTATTCAATAAATTAGAGGAAAATGATTGACCTTTAATATAAAGAGAATGAGAAAATTATATCATAAGGATGAGATGAGGGAGAAAGTAAATTGTTGTGCTGATAATTCTTATAAAGGTGTGAGCTTTTAAATTTAAAAAATTAATTTTAGAGGCTTATTATGTTCTTACTTTGATGTATGAAAACAAAGTGTGGGAGAAACTAATTATATCGAACTTATTTTGAATTACTATGTTATTATGTTTTATACAGATGCTTGTATAACTCTTCTTATTTTATAATTTGACATTGGATACAACAATAACAAGCATTTATCCCATTAAGTGGTGTCAGCTACAAAAATCATTTTTCTCCATTGCGTTATATTGATTGTCATATTTTAATTTAATTCTAATAAATTAAGATCATTTTTTATACAATATCATGAATTCTTTTTAGGTCTTCCTTTGTCTTTCTTGACATAAGTTGAATCTAAAAAATCCACTCTCCTAACCTCTCCTAACAGGTTCATCAGATGGTCGAGGCTTAATGTGACCAAATTATCTAAGACGAATCTCTCTAATTTTTTCTGCCACTGGAGCTACACGAACCCTATCACAGATATATTCATTTCTCATTTTATCTTTATGTGTGAAGCCACTCATCAACTTAAGCATTCTCATCTCGACAACACTTAACTTAGTTTTATGCTTCTCTTTTAAAGGCCAACATTCAGTGTCATAAAGCATTGCATGTTTCATCACCATCTTATAAAATTTTCCTTTCAGTCTAAGCGGTACTTTTCTATCACACAATAAGCCCGAGACATTCCTCTAATTTAACCAACAATCTTGAATTCTACTAATAACATCATCTTCTATTGCACCATCACTTTGAACAATAGACCCAAGATAGCTAAAGCATTCTCACCTTTTAATAATTCGATCACCCATAGTTACAACTTTATCACTAGTTCTACTCAAACGAAGGCTTTTAGACTGCAATGTAGACCTCCATAATTCAAGTTTTTTCTGAGTTTTTTCTCTAGTCTTATTCACAAGACGGATATCATCAGTGAAAAGCAAACACCAAGGTACATCTTCCTATAAATGTCCAGTAAGAGCATCCATAACTAAAGCAAAAGGATATGAGCTTAGAGCTATGTAATCCAATTGAAATATAAAAATATTTGGTAAATCCTCCTTCTGTTCAAACACAAGTAACAACTCTAGTATACATATCTTATGACTTGAATGTAAGTCATATCAACATCTTTCTTCTCTAGAATTATTCAAAGGATATCTCTTGGAACCTTATCATAAACTTTTTTCTAAATCAATAAAAATCATATGTAGATCTTCCTTATTCTCTTTGTACTTCTTCATTAAACCTCTCAATAAAAGTATAGCTTATAGCTTCCATAGTAGACCAATCCAAACTGATTGAGAGAAATTTTTCTTTCATGTCTTAAGAAATCGAGAAATCTTTGTAATACGTCTTAACCTATGTTCAGTTACCCTCTCCCATAATTTTAAAGTATGACACATCAACTTAATTTCTCTATAATTTGTACACTCTTGTGCATCACCTTTATTGTTAAAAATGAGGACCAAAATAATCTTCCTCCACTCAGGCATTATTTTAGTTTTTAAAATAATATTAAAGAGTTTAGTAAGCCAAGAAACTCTCCAATCTCCCAAATATTTACACACTTCAATTGGGATATCATCAGGTCCTACAGGCTTTCCACCCTTGGTTTTTTTTAAAGCCTCTTTTTTTACTAATACGACTATAAAAATGAAGCATTTTATTACGATATTAAGATCACTGAAGTAGATAGTATTTTAGAGACTTCATTGAAAAGTTTATCAAAATGACTCACTTACCTTTGTTGAATTTCTTTTTCTGAGAAAAACTCTTTTTGATTTTCATCTTTAATACATTTTACTCGAGTTAAATCTTTACCTTTTTTTCTCTTTACTGGGCTAGTTTATATATAGTTTTCACCCTCTTTATTATCTAATATATTATAAAGATTATTAGAAACAGAATTTTAGCGTCACAGGTTGTTCTCAAAGATTTCATACGGGTTATTTTCTCAGTTCTCTAAGTTTTTACATTTAGATCAATTTTAATAACATAACTTCTTATGTTTTATCTTTTCTTGCACATTATTATTCTACTATCAACTATATTTATTTAAAAATTTCTTTCCTTTTAATTCTCAAAGTATATCTTTGTCACTTGTTTAATAGTGTTTGTTATTTTGTTTCACATGTAATTTGTTTCTTTATGAACATCCTAAATCTTAAAATCTCAAAGTTTACTCATAAAAATAATTTTATGTCTTTTAGGTGCTCCATCTAATTCTATAACAATAATTCTTAGTATTCTTTATTTTACAACTCTTCATCTTAAAATCCAAAATTAATAATCGATGTTGAGTATTTAAATCCTTACTTAGAATGGTCTTCCAATTTTTACATTCCCGACGATCTCTTCTTCTCATAAGGGAATAAACAATATGTTTTATTAGATCTATTCTTATAAGTGATAATATGCTCATCTTTTTTCTTGAATAAAGTATTAGCAATAACAAAATCATACACTAAAGTAAAATTTAATATGACTCTACCTTCTTTGATAATCTCACCAAAATCATAGCCACCATTAATATTTCTAAAATCTTCTACCACTCTACCGACGTGTCAATTTAAATTTCCTCATATAAAAATTGTTTCTTCAAGAGCCATCATTTGTATTAAGTTTTCTAGGTCATTCCAGAATTTTTCTTTAAAATCTATATCTAAACCTACTTGAGGGGCATAAGCACTTATAACATTAAAAATTTTAACATTAACAATAATTTGACTTTGGATATTAACGTGTCATTCTTTACTTTAAACAATTTATTTCTTTTACCATATTAGGATATTAAAATTGGTGCATTTTCACTTATTAATAAGCTATAATGTTAATATATTGTTTCTTATTACATATTTTAAATTTAAATATAATATTTTTTGTTCTACGTAATTTTTTATTGTTAGTCTTGCTCTTTAAAACGTCTAGAGACTTGTGCCTCATCACACGGATAAAAAATGCCTCGGTAGCTAGTTGTGCAATTTTAAACTTCGGCTGCACCTGCTTGCATTGCTTTATGTTGTAAACTATTACCACATTCATATGCCAATGCCCCAAAGCTTGTTGCTCTGTTTGCTAGGCTGCTTTCACATATATCATACTTGAATGTGACCACCACAAGCCATGCATTCTGTTTGTGAAACTAATCATGAACTTAGTAGGAACATAAATGTAGCAAAAGGTCCCATAATTTTGTACTTTGAAAGAATTGTAACTGTCATTATCATCTTCTTCTTTATCCCAGCTATTTTGGTTGGCTTTATGAACGTGTAAATCTGAATTATACAAGGAATTTTAAAAACCCTAAGTATCAGCAGCATAAATGTAACCCAAAAATTTTAGGTTAATAAGTGATAAACTTTGGCAGCGCAGTTTCTTGTTTATCTTATTTGTCGAATTCTGAAAATACATTTTTGCAATTTAATGTAAAAGTATGTTGTTGGTTTTTGGTGATTTGCCTCAGGCATGAGATTGTTGGGGTTGTCACTACAATTAGCACTGGTGTTACGGACTTCAAGATTGGAGATATAGTTGGTGTTGGAGCTTATATTAATTCATGTCAAACGTGCAAGTATTGCAATTCTGACAAAGAAAACAAATGTGCAAAAGGAATAACTTTTACATTCAATGGCATTGACATAGATGGCTCAATTACTAAAGGTGGATATTCCAGTTATATAGTTGTCAATCAAAGGCAGGTTACACTTCTATCTCATTTAGTTTTCCTTTGTGTCGATAGAAGTTTTAGAAGATATTGTTATTATTATTATTATTATTATTATTATTATTATTATTATTATTATTATTATTATTATTATTATTATTATTATTATTATTATTATTATTATTATTATTATTATTATTATTATTATTATTATTATTATTATTATTATTATTATTATTATTATTATTATTATTATTATTATTATTATTATTATTATTATTATTCCTGGTTGAATATGATGTTCATGAAAATATCCATTTGAAATCATGATGCAAGGATGAAACTGAAGTGGGTACATTACATATTTGAGTCTTCATATTTGTAAAACAGATTTTAGATGTTAAGAACCAAAAACATACATTTTAGAACACCTGGTACTGTTGGCTAAAATTATATTTAGAAGATACGTAGAAATATGCCAAACCTGGGTTTTCCGCGTGTTCAAAATTCATCCAGGAATGAATATTTGCAGCATATGGTTTCATAGAACTGGTCATGTTTTGACTGAAGAGTTGTTGATTTTACTGAGGGAGGAATATCCACGATGCGTTGATTAACTAGAAGGTTAGAAAATGATCAAAGTAGTAGCACAACTATTTATGGGGAGTCATTTTTGTTCTAGATTATATAAAGGGAGTTTAATCTAGCCCTTCAACTCATAAAATATGAGCCAAAATAGTCCCGCTTTTAAAAGTAATGGAAATAAAACATAAATTTAACGGTTGGTTGTTAGATTAATGGTATTTTAGAAATTTACATTTTCTTTATCTAAATTTATGGAACTGAATTTCCTATATTTTTTTTGGAACTGAATTTCTTATATTTTCTTTAATCTAGCCAACGTTCCTTTTATTTCTGAATTTTTTTTAAGATGCTCTATGATGAAATTATTGAATATTTATTTATTTATTTTAAGAATTATTATTGATAAATTACCTATAAAATATCACAATTTTGAAAAAAAAAGGTCATTTATTAAATATTGTAAAATTTCAATATGTAATTTCTTAAAATACTCTCTTTTTTTTTATCATCGATTAACTTTAAATTCAATGTCCATTATATTTAATGATATGGCTATTTTAACTCTTATTTTAAGAGTTCAGGGACGAAATAAAACCTTTTATGTAATTTTTACTAAAATGGCGCCCTACAAATATTTGCCGGATAATTTTAGTCCTATCACTAAAAGATTTTGATGATAACCAACGTTACTAATGGAAAATAATAATATGGATATGTACGATTCTGGCTATCATTATTGAAAAATGTCAATTTTCTTAGCGATTATATCTTTAACATGTTTTCTATCATATAATTGAACTGTTTTGATAAGTTATTGATGCTTTGCAATGATTAGTCATAAAAGTTTCTGATATGCTTCATAATTAATGGCATAACATTTTGGCTGAAAATATTTTTTTTCTATCCTGCAGATACTGCTTCAAGATACCTGATGGTTACCCTCCAGAATTGGCTGCACCTTTGCTTTGTGCAGGGATCACTGTGTATGCTCCAATTATACACCATCATATGAACCAATCCGGCAAGTCTCTAGGAGTCATTGGCCTCGGTGGCCTTGGTCATATGGCAGTTAAGTATGGAAAAGCTTTTGGTTTGAAGGTGGTGGTTTTTAGTACAAGTTTATCCAAGAAAGATGAAGCCCTGGAAATCCTTGGTGCAGATGAGTTTGTGCTATCTTCAGATGAGAAACAAATGCAGGTATACGTTGCAACCCGCTTTCCTCTCTTTGGCTTAAATATTGTTTGCTGAATGGTTTGCCTCTAACAAGTTAGTAATAGTTGCTTCGTACCTTATTATGACCAATAGTTTCACTAGTCTTCTTGGATGTTGGTGCTCCAAGTGTATTATTCTCCTTGGTGGATGAGGATAGTAGCATTATTTTAGAATATGCATATAGAATGTTATCACAAAGTTTTTTGGACAAAGAAATTTGATTTGATAGAATTGTTCATTGCAAGTTTGTTGACAACTGATTGCCCCCCTTGTCACACCTACTGGAAGATTTCATACCATTTAAAATCAGCTTGTCTTTCTATGATCAGTAGGTACATTTTTTGGGGATGTGTGCCTTTAGATTATATGTGGACAATTGTTACAACACCCAAGTGACAAATTGAATTGTCTTGTTGGGTTGATTTATTGCTTTTCCTACTAATGCTTTATTAAAGGCCCTTCTGTTTCACCTTTGGCTTATATGCTTCAACTTTCAAAGATGTGATGTGAACGAAGAAAGTTGGTTTGCTGTTGGGGAGGTGCTACACGACTTGTTAGAGGATTGGATGGCACTTGCAGGGTAGACAGAGGAGCCTTTATCTTGGGGGATAAAGTTAATGCTTAGAGAGAGAACCTATGAAAGGTTCCATGCACTGGATTGGTAGATGCGCTTTGTAATGGAAAAAGAGGAGGATGACGTCCAATATGTGTGTTTAGGCTTTAGAGCCTTTCTTCATGCTGTAGTAATTCATTGTAAAAAGGGAATTATGTATAATACAAGAAAAGTTAATCTCTTCTTGGTCAAAGCATAGCGATGAGAGACGGGGAAGAATTCGAGAGGTGGAGGCATCATCTTTTCGTAGGCTATACATATTTATAAAGGCAATAAAAGATTCCTATTGGCTGTAGCTAGGATTTTGTCAGTCTCCTAAAAAGGTTTTACCATCCATTTTGTCTTTTAGCATGGGTGATTCCATGTAGAGAGTATGTGTCATTTTTGGGTTGGCATCAGAAAAGACGGGCTTTATCAAACTTGGTATCAGGCGTTGACATTTCAGAGGGCTAATATTGATGGTCTAGCTAATTAACACAACCTTCTGAGCTTTTCGAGACATCTTGTCAAGCACCCGCTCGGGGATGATGTGTCCATTGTATGATTATCCATTGTCAGAAGATGAAAGGGATCTATGCTTCCTTTAGAAGATTATAACACCTTGCAGCAACCTATATGATTCTTCTATTTCCTCCTTAATTATGTGACACAAGGGTTGTCCTCCAAATGCTAAACCAGTTTGGCCTGGATCGGTTTAGTTGAGAGAGGAGGCTGAAGTGGCCCCCTCCCTCCCTCTTTTCATTAGGCGGAAATTTTCCCTCCTTCCTGTTTCCACCCATCCCTCTTCTATTTATATGTGTTTTTATGGTTTAGTTTTTGTCGTATTCTGATTTCAGATTCTGTGTGGACAGCCATCGGCATCATCTTTTCCCTTTCCAGGGCTGCATCGGGCTGCATCTGAGGATAAGTGATGCTTCAGCTGTATCTGGCTCTGAAGTGGTGGTTATTTTCAACGTTCACCCTTCTCCACATCCTCCCTTCTGCTGCTTCCACCGCCGTACTATCTGCAGTCTCCCATGGACAGCAGATCTGCTGTATCTGCAGCCCCCAAATCCTTTGCCCTGCCGCACACCATCAACCACGCAAGCCGCTCCTTTCCCTTCAAACCCAGCCCCCCCAAAGGCAGCTTCTTTTCTGCCTCCTGCAGTCCCCATACATTCCCTGCCCCCTTCTATTGCTGCCGCCTAACTCCTGCGCCTTCTCCTCTCCCAATTGCTAAGCTGACGCTGCCTCCTGCAGTCCCCGTATATCCCCTGCCCCCTCTTCCTTTGCTGCTGCCCTTCCCGTAATCCCCCTTCCAAGCCTCCTTATTTTTAACCATCACACTGCTCCCAGCCCCTTACCGCTGCCCTTCCCGTAAGTCCCTTTCCCCGCCACCTATTTCCTAACCATAGCACTCCCTCCACCTTTCAACCACCTCAATATCCTATCCCTCTACTTCAGCAGCCGCACAGCCCTTCCCTTCTTCCCAGCTGCACCCCGGAATTCATTCCTTCAGCCTTTCCCTGCAACCCTCCCTGCTACAGTCACCACAAAACAGCCACCAGCTTTCAGCCCCTACTGCCTTGCTGCTCCTATCCCTCACTTATACCCTCCTTCCTTAAACAGCAATCTCCCCATCCGCTCCCAACCTGCTATCCAGCCACCTTCCACCACCTTCGCCTTCGTCCTAGAATGTTCTTTTATGTTTGTTGTCTCTTATTTCCTGTTTTGAATAGTCGTCGTTGTAACCTATTTGAATTTCAGCAATAATATTTCTGTTTCAATTATGATTTGGATTTCCTCCAGTATAAATATGTATATAGCCTAGGACTTTTAAGAGGATAATTGAGCAATTGCTGATTTTGAACTCTTAAGAAGTGAGGATGCCTTGCCCTTTTCTACCCTATTTCTCACTTATCAGGCTTTGATATGTGCAATAGGATGGACTCTTTCTGTATTATGCCTTACTTTTTTTTTCATAGAGAATTTTCTCCCTCACAACACAGTTGTAGAAGTTATAAAGACAAATCAAGTAAAATGTTGGTTCCTGCTGGTCATTCCTCTTAATCCCTCTTCAGGGACAATGGTCAATCCAAAGCCTGCTGGTTCTACTCTCAAGAACCTCTCATCAATTCTCTCCCTACACATCAGTTACTTTTCTCAATCCATGGAGTATCTTGGGTCAAGGACTTGCCCTTTTGGGGCATGCGACATGTCTCCATAAGCAAGGCCAATTTTTGTCCTTTCTATTTTTGTTTCTCTTATTAAGAAATCATTAGAACCAATTGATGTACAAATTTTGTGAGCATGGTTTATTTGAAGGTGGAACTGCATCCACCATGAGTGATGGCAGATTTTGTTATATGCATACTTGCCATGAACTTAATTGTTTGGATCAATAATATATAATTTCTTTTGTTCTTTGTATATTTTGAAGCAATCAGAATAGCTGTGCCGAAAAACTGTCATAATTGTAATATAGAAGAATGCCTTCATATATAGCATTTCTATTAAGATCCATAAAAGGGGCCCAATGCAAGCCTCTCTATCTATAAGCAAAGTAACATCCAACTAAAGCCCCAGCCACACAAGATCTAGAAAATTGAGTGGTGGCACATTTACTTGTAAACGCTTGCCAAATATAAAACAAACTGACTGAAGTAGTGTAGACGAAAGTGAAATAAAAAAAATCTTCTTTAACATTTTAACATTTTCTTTAAAAAATCACTTTATAGGCTTGTCATGAAAAAAATATCAGAAAGGAAGAAAGGAGTTGCTAGTCTTGGAAACCTCAATCTTAGTAGAAATAAGAGTTGTTTTAACCAAAACATGGTAGTCTGTTTTTGTTGAGGAGAATTTGATTCTTGATGATAAGATAATGGGAACTGGATAGATGATGCCTGTTGAGATCTAGAGGCTCTTGCTCCCCAACAACATCAGCAAAGGATCAGGAAGCACTTCAAATGGTAGAAACAATATCTGTTGGTGCTTGAATGACATGAAGTTGAAATTGCAAGGGAAACATTTAGCACCATAACTGACGGGGTGGCGATGGAATAACCTCGTCAAGTAAAACAACTTGAGTAGATGATGATGATGATGGCATGGAAACCAAGGAATGATCTTGAGGCATGAGAAGAGAGGAAGCATGATCAACATAACTTTTTGAGCACAAGTTAGAAAATGAGAGCAAGATTGAGATATTCAGGGCATTATCCAGGGCATCGAGGTAGGAGATGGCATGGGCACTGCTGCCCTTGAATGTGCCGAAAGAAAATGACATACAAAACACTCAAGTGTGTAATCAACGCATAGAGGAGCATGTGAAAAACTCAGGCCTTGATGTGGGATTGACGAGAGATCTCAAAAGGAGGGATTAAGAGGGGACATGAGCTGCCATAAGAAGCTTGAAGATTCATTAAGAAGACTATGAGCAATGATTGCAGGCTTGAAATATCTGGCAGCACACACAACGAATGGGACAGTGTTGTGTAATGGGTAGGTACAACAAGCATGCATGTGTCATGCTGCCTCTAGCTGCTCATAACTCAGTTTTGCTCTCCTTCAGTCAGAGCTGTTCTCAACTCTTTTGTGTAAAATGGTTATTTGTCTTTCTTGTAGGCACTGTCTAACTCCCTGGACTTTATTATTGATACAACATCTGGGCCTCACCCATTTGAGCCTTACATGTCTATTTTGAAGACAGAAGGCACCCTGGTTCTGGTTGGTGCACCCGGCGAAATTCGAATGCCTCCCGGATCCCTCATTTTTGGTATTTCCCTTTTCTTTTTTTTTTATAAAACAACTATTTTTCATACCAAATGAATCAATAAAATGAATAAAAAAATGTGTATATTTTTATGAAATTAGTGCAAAGATGCGTGAGATGTTTAAATCCTCATTTGTAGGCTCAAAGAGTATTTCTGGGAGCGCGGTGGGTGGTACAAAAGACATTAAAGAGATGTTAGAGTTCAGTGCTGCCAATAAAATATACCCAAAGATTGAATTAATTCCAATTACATACATCAATGAGGCACTGGACAGGCTTGTTAAGAGGGATATCAAGTACCGCTTTGTCATCGATATTGAGAATTCTCTCAAATAAGCACGTTTTTTTAATGTCTTTTTTTCTTAAATGCCGAATATTTCTCATGGATCCAACTCGAATGACACATTTAGCTCTTTTTTTTTTCATTTTTAATATTTGTACTGTTTTTAATAAAAAAATTAATTTTAGTTGAATTTATATGACACTGCTAACTCTTTTTTTGATATTGTTGGATTGAAAATCTTTATAAATACTGTATTTTACTCTGCAGACAGCTTTCATTTGTAGTAGTTTTTTTTCCCCCCATTTTGACAGTGCAATTTGAAATTGTTGTTCTGTAGATCATGGTTTAAAGTATCAGTTTTGGAATTTCCTTGAGGAAGAGGATTTCTACAGTTTGGTTTATTAGTTTTGCTCAAATTGCATCATTATTTTTTGATTTTGTTGATAAACTAAGAGTGCAATTTTATGTTAGATGTGATTCAAAGCATCATTAATATTTTAGTTTTTTATTTTGTTTGCACATCTTTTTTCTAATTAAAAAAATGTTAATCATTTTTTTTAAAAGAATAATATACTATGTAGAAATTATATATGAGACATGTAGGTATCTTCCAAGTTTGTTTTGTCTGCCCAGCTTTGTTATATTTATAATATTGTTTCAGGAGGGTTTTTGGTGAATGTCAATCAGGAAGGATGGAAATTAGGCAGCTAAATTAGGAGTTTTCTATAATTAGGAATTAGGAGCTTTCTATAATTAGGAGCTTTCTTATTTAAATTATTTCCAATATTTTTATTATGATTTATTTCTCTTTTAGTTGAATATTTAGATTAAGAATATTTATTATTAAGTTACCTAAAATAGATTATAGAAAATATTTTGTGCCTAAAATAGATTGTAAGATTATTATTTAATGGAATGAAAGCAAAGGGAAAAGGCATCGTGCCTATTCAGATTTCAGCCTATTTTTTCTCAAAATTTTGACATTGTATCAGAGCCAAATTTTTGCACTAATCACCGGTAGTCGTTGGAGAACCGTCAAGATTCCCTTCCCTTCAGTCTTCTTGCGGGACGGGAAGGAAGGAACTATTTCTTTGTCTTGATTCGCCCATCTAAGGATTTTCGTCCGCTGTGACTGATTCGTCCGCTTTCGATTTGCCTTCTTCCATCTCCCACATCTGATTCTGTCTCCCGCGTTTGATTACATCTTCGATCTGCGATCCTGTTCATTTGTTATCTCGTATGTGATTAAAGTCTCATCCGCAATTTGCGATCTCGTTCACTTCGTTTGCTTCGTCTGCTTTGGATCTCCTTCGCTAGCCATCATTGCTTCTGCGACATCTTCGACTGCTTCTTCCGCTTCGGCTTTGTCCGCTTCGACTTCGACTTCTTCGTCACACCCAAGGATTGAAGGCTTCGACACTCCTTCCTAGACCCATGGCTTCGACATCTCGGCTTCAACACTTTTGGTGTGAAGATCAAGGAACAAATCGTCCTCATCGTCGCAAAAAGAATCAATAGCATTTGGATTGTATAACAGGACGCGAATCCTACTTGTGGGCTATGATCAGTAGCAATTGGATCATGACGCGGATCGTACTTGTAGGTTATGATCGATAGCATCTGAGTCGTGTAACTGGATCCTATTTGTGGGCTAATCGGTAACATTTGGATCAGGACACAGATCCTACTTGTAGGCTATGATCGATAGCATATGGATCGTGTAACTGGATCCTATTTCTGGGTTATGATCGGTAGCATTTGGATCAGGACGTGGATCCTACTTGTAGGCTATGATCGATAGCATCTGGGTCGTGTGACTGGATATAATTTGCGGGATATGATCGGTAGCATTTGGATCAGGACATGAATCCTACTTGTAGGCTATGATCGATAGCATCTGGATCGTGTAACTGGCTCCTATTTGTGGGCTATGATCGGTAGCATTTGTAGGCTACGATCGATAACATCTGAATCGTGTAACTGGAAGCGGATCCTTCTCGTGGCTATGATTCAAATTTCTGATGAAAAATGATAAATGATTTCTTGCTTTTCTTTGCTCAAATCATGTTATGGTTCAGGAGTTGTTTCCGAGGCTTCGACTTTCTCGGCTTCCGCAGCTTCGGCTTCGACACTCACGACTTGAGGATTTTTTTGTCCTAACAGTGTTATCAGTTTCTTGTTGGCAACTTGATGCTTCCTGATCAGTCAATATCAATTTGTGGGAGGGATATCAATCAAAAAGGACAGAAATTAGGTAGCCAAATTAGGAGTTTTCTATAATTAGGAGCTTCCTTATTTAAATTATTTCCAATATATTTATTATGATTTATTTCCCTTTTAGCTGAATATTTAGATTAAGAATATTTATTAATAAGTTACCTAAAACAGATTATGCACTTTATTTTGTACATAATAGAGATTGTAAGATTATTATTTAATGGAATGAAAACAAAGGGAGAAGACATCGAGCATATTCATTATTCAACCTATTTTTCTCAAAACCTTGATTTTTGCTTGATTTCTTCGCCTGCGTTGTTTACATTCTACTTTGTCTTTCTTTTCGACTCGACCAGTCTCGACAGATCATCTCCTTCGTTTGAACTCCACCCGCAGTGGCTCCCGCCTTCGATCTCTTTCGATCTCGCTTGTGTCGCTTGTGCGTGGCCACCGTGTTCCAAAGATGGAGAAAGAGAGCACGATCATAAGCTACGTATACGAAACCCTCGATCCCTTGGGCTCCTCAACAGGCGACAGGATCCCGTTGCTTCGAGATCGTACAACGTTTTCTGGAGCGAAATAATTGCCTTCGTTGACTTAGTTGTGGACATTCTAGTCTTCGATTACGTCTCCTTTGCCTTCTCGCGTCTGGTTTCATCTCCCGCGTTTGATTACAGCTGTGATCTTCGATTCTGTCCATTTATTATCTCGTCTGCGATTCAAGTCTCATCTGCAATCTGCGATCTCATTCGCTTCGTCCGCTTCGGATCGCCTTCACTAGTCATTGCTGCTTCTGCGACATCTTCGACTGCTTCTTCCGCTTTGGCTTCGTCCGCTTCGACTTTGGCTTCTTCGTCTCACCCAAGGATTGAAGGCTTCGACGCTCCTTCCTAGACCCAGCTTTAGCGCTTTTGGCGTGAAGATCAGGGAACAAATCGTCCTCGTCGTCGCAGGAAGAATCGGTAGCATTTGGATCAGGATGCGGATCCTACTTTTAGGCTATGATCGATAGCATCTGTGTTGTATATTTGGATCTTATTTGTGGGCTATGATCAGTAGCATTTGGATCAGGATACAAATCCTACATGACCCTACATGTAGGCTGTGTTTGATAACATCTGGATCGTGTAACTGGATCCTATTTGTGGCCAATGATCGGTGGCATTTAGATCGTGTAACTGGAAGCGGATCCTTCTTGTGGCTATGATTCAAATTTCTGGACGACAATGATAAAGGATTTCTTGCTTTTCTATGCTCAAATCATGTTATGGTTCAGGAGTTGTCTCTGAGGCTTCGACATTCTCGGCGTCGGCACCTTCGGCTTCGGCACTCACTGCTTGAGGATTTTTTGGTCTCGATAGTGTTATTAGTTTCTTGTTGGCAAACTGATGTTTCCTAATAAGCCAGCATCAATTTGAGGGGGGATGTCAATAAAAAAGACGGAAATTAGACAGCTAAATTAGGAGTTTTTTATAATTAAGAGCTTCCTTATTTAAATTATTTTCAATATCTTTATTATGATTTATTTCCCTTTTAGCTAAATATTTAGATTAGGAATATGTATTATTAAGTTACCTAAAATAGATTATACAGAATATTTTGTACCTAAAATAGATTGTAAGATTATTATTTAATGGAATGAAAGCAAAGCGAAAAGGCATCGAGCCTATTCAGATTTCAGCTTATTTTTTCTCAAAACTTTGATAGTGAAATGGAAAGACTGATCTCATAATATCTGGATCTTCTGGATATGTATATAAATCTTATTGCATCATTTAGATAAAAATGAAGTATTTGCTAATATTAAAGAGATCAATCACTGTTCTACAATGACACGTGGATGCTAAATTTTAATATTTATTTTATGATGTGGACTGTTTGAAAAAGACTCATGAGATTATTATTCGAGAGAATTATATTTTTCTCTTGAAATTCCAGCTTTAGTATTACTTGCTATTCCTCCACCATTGTCAATACATAGCTTATTTTTTAGATTTAGGTAGGTTTCATTTTGGCAACAAAATAATAAAGAATTTACGTTTGTTTATTCTCGAAATTTAGGGGATTTGTCAGAAGAATTTGAAGAACATTAGCATGAGATAGTTAGAAAAATAATCGACAAGCATTCTATACATCACTTAACAATCTTTTGGCATTGATGTTAATTTTCCCAAGTGATGTTGTGAGAAGTTATCATTATTATGAAGCTTCCTGCGTCAATCAAACTTTAGAGGCTTATTTGTTTATGTGACATTGAACTTATGTGGATTCAACAACTGCTTCTGTGAGTTTATGTGGCATTGACTTGTGAATGCAAGGAGAGAAAATTTTAGCCAAGGTGGTCTGGGAGGTTTCAAGTGGGGGCTGGCCACTCCCTCTCTGTCTCCCTTTGGTAGTTACCTTGGTAGTGAAGATGTTCGATGAAAACGTGTTGAACATTGTATTTGAACACTTCTTTTCTCTGAAATGAAATATTATGAGTTGATTATGTGAAACCTTGGATGAAGAATTCTCCATTAACTCGAGGCCTGGTGGTCGACCACCCAAGGGATGGTGATCTCCCTCTAAACCTGCTTTGGTGAGTAAGAATTTTCATTTCTCCGCATTTCTTTTATGCAAATCTTATGTTGTTTGTGTTAGTGATGTTGTCTACTCTATGTTCCAAAAGAAAAACTCAAAATATTGTGTTTTAGACCTTTATTTTATTATTTTAAGTGAGAGATTAATATTGGTATGATTATTATCCCATAAAAATAACTTTAAAAGCTATCATTTTGTAGTTTTAGCAGTCTTTAATCTATTGTTGTGATGGGCAAAAAGATCAAAGGGAAAAAGTATTATTGGGGCATTTAATTCTATTATCTTTTCTAAGAAAATGTACACCATCAATTGGGGTGTGAAAAATATTTATAAGACTTTAAATTAAATGATAAATGAGATAAAATCAATTGTCATAGGTAATATTAGTTTTCT